CATTCATTCATTCATTCATTCATTCATTCATTCATTCATTCATTCATTCAACACATTTATACAGCCGCCCAACTCACTAAATGTGACTCTGGGCGGCGTACAACCAATAGTTAAAACAATATCACAGCTATTAAAAACACTTAAAAAAAATAAATGAAAACAAGATAAATAAGATAAGGAAAACAAGATTGCAGGAGAACACCCATCTAAACGCAATACAACCATCCCGGAGGCTCCCCATGGGATCCCAAGGTTGCTGGAAGAACCACATTTTCAGGGCCTTCCGAAAGGTTAATAGGGATGGGGCTAACCTCACCTTGAGGGGGGGGGGGAGATGATGTTCCAGAGGGTGGGAACCGCAGCAGAAAAGGCACGTTGTCTGGGCTCTGTCAGATAGAATTCTTTAGCAGACGGGACCCACAACATACCCCTCCTGCTGGACCTGATGGAACAGGAAGATGTGATCGGGAACAGGTGGTCCCTCAAATAACCTGGTCCCATGCCATGTAGGGCTTTAAAGGTCAGAACCAGCACCTTGAATTGTACCCAGAAGAAGACTACCAGCCAATGCAGCTCCCGGAACAGATGTATGACATGGGCCATCCTAGAGGCACACAGAACTGTCTGCGCACCAGCTGAAGCTTCCAGATACTCTTCAAGGGCAGCCCACGTAGAGCACATTACAGCAATCCACTCTTGGGATGACCAGGATGCAAGTGATTGTGAATAGAGCCTCATGGTCCAGGAAAAGGCACAACTGGCACGTAACAGGAAGCTGTGCAAAGGCCCTCCTAGCCAGGACTGCCACCTGTTCTTTCAGCAGGACTCCTCGGTCTAGAAGGACCCCCAGATTGTGCACTGAGTCTGCCTGGGGTAGTGCGACCCCATCCAGAATCAAAGATGGTAAAGTCCCACATCCAGTAGGCCCCAAAACCCAGAGCCACTGTCTTGCCAGGGTTCGACTGAACCTGTTGTTCCCCATCCTGACCCCACAGCCGGGACAGGACATCAACAGCGTTGGTTAGTTTGCCAGGGGCAGAGATGTATAATTGTGTATCATCAGCATACTGATGATAACCAACCCCATGGCAATGGGTGATCTCACCCAGCAGCTTCAAGTAGATGTTTAATAGGAATGGAGAGAGCACCACACCCTGCAGCACCCCGCATAGAGGGGCTGTGAGTTGGACTTCTCACTCCCAATTAACACTGCCTGGTACCAGCCCCATAGGAAGGAAGAGAACCAGCTCAATACTGTGCCACCTGCTCTCAACCCACGGAGCCAATCCAGAAGGATACCACCATGGTCAATGGTATCCAAGGCCACCAAGAGAGCAAGGAGAGCAAGAACAGATGCAGTACCCCTAGCATAGACCATTCTAAACACCGTCGACCACCCTACCTATAGAAATATTGGCCAAGTGTATTATTTTTAACTAAAACCATTACATTCTCGTAGCAAATTGGCAGCAAATAAAAAGGAAGCATGTTTGCTATGAGAAGCTGATGGCAGAGCGCTTGAAACTACATGGAATGAAATGCCTTATTTTGTTCAAATTCAGAACAAAACGCTGTAGCTTAGAGTGTTTTGTTCCAGAACATTTTGAATATTTTGAAATCAGAATGTTTTGCACACCCTTCTCACATTACTTTCCAAGTATATAGCTCCTGGAAACATATTTTATTGGAGTATTAACCACATTCTCACTCTTTTTACTCCCTATCTCCTGCCTAAGGTAACACATGTGTTGTTTCTCAGCCCTCCTACCTGAGCAACTTTTAACTAGCAAATGAAAGGGACAATAACAGAGCCAGCATTTACAGCACTCTCCCCCTCATCTCCTTTCAATTCACCTTGCAAAATATGGTAGGTGTTTTTTGGTGAGTTTGACCAGGGCCACGTCATAATCATAAAATTCCTGGATGCCCTTATTTTGTAGTTTCTGATTATTGTACTCCGGGTGGCGTCGGATTTCAGCTACTGCAAAGTGGGTGGTTCCTAAAGAAGAAACAGAGAAAATGTGAATGTCCTGGAAACCTTCTCAGATGATGGAGGCCATTGTAGTAACGGAACAATGGGAAGGGAAACCATTGCTACTTACGGTTAAGTAAGAACAAAGCAGACAAGTCTTTTTTCACCAGTTAGTAATCCATCCCTTCTTCCTCCTATCTCCATGCCCCACGCGAGAATGTGGCTTACCAAGGATGACACTGATATCTTCAATCCGATCAATCCTGGCCAAGCAGTGGGCCGCTGTCAAGATGTACTGCTCAGTGATAATGACTCCCTTGCAGATTTCTTGCAGTGGTTCCTAAAATTTGGAAGTGAAAATCACCCTGGATCACAGAGAACAGCAGCAGTCTCACCTTAGAGCTTCAGAGTCTCTTGCCATTCGACAAAGCCAGGGGATTGGATAAGTTTATACAGAAGAGGCGCATCAACATCTATTGGCCTTAAAGACTCAGTGTTACTTTAGACTGGGGGTAGCGTGTCTCCAAATGCCAGGTCAGAAAAAAGGGTGGGAAAGGAACTTGCCTGTCTCTCCTCCTTGTGAGCACCATGGAGGCGTTGAAGGAACACAAAGTGCTGGACTGAGATGGATCTTGGCCTGATTAAGGAGGCCTATTCTTGTCACAGCAGAAAGGTAGAGAGCAAGAGTAACCACTGAATGCCGTTTTTACGCATGTTCCCAATGAGTATTTCAGTGCTTTGTGGTAGTAGAGGGTGGTCTTTGGGTCTCTGGATGGAGAGATGTGATCTCTTATCATTTCCAATCAACCTCTTGAGGAGAGTCTCACCCTTCCTTCAGCACAGGTAAGCACTACATTAACACCAGAGGAGACCCCTGTTCCTCATTTCTTGCAGAAGGGAAGGTCAGCACTATCTCTTAGACCAAACTCTGGTATAGTTTTGCTTCTTAGACCAAACTTTGGTATAGTTTTGTGTCTGGGGAAGATCAGGGGAGATAAATCCAATGATTTCCAGCTATCACCTACACCAGCCTTCCCCAACTTGGCATGCTCTAAATGTGTTGGATTACACAACCCCTAGCACGTCCGGCCAGCATTCTTGGAGTTGTAGTCCAACAAATGTAGGGGAGGCACCATTTTGGAGTAGGTTGGGCTACGCCTTCTTGGGTCAGCCTACTTCTGCTGAAACCTGTTTCCAGAATAGGCTGTCTTTTTTCAGTTTGGTAGAGATATTGCCTCCAGTTGTTAACAACAGCTAAGCAGCAGACAGGATCTGAAGTGGAAAAAGCATGTGGGGTTGCTTACATAATGCTTGTTGGTACCTCCTTGGTTCAGATGCATCTTTTCCCAAGATGGTGTGGCAACTGCCAAGAGCTACTGTGCCAGCCCACAGAAAGACACAGCATTTTGAGGAGCTGCCAACAGGTGCCCTTATGTGCTCCAAATCCCCTGTTCCCCTTTGAGTCTAGGCCTCTGCACAACCCGGATACCCCATTAGTAAGTCCTTTCACAGCAGATATTTTGGACTGAAAAATGGCAGCATTGGAGGAGATCCCATTGAGTTTGACCAGTGTTTCTCAAACTTGGCAACTTTAAGATGGGTGGACTTCAATTCCCAGAATTCCCAGGTCCAACTAAGTGTTCTAAGGTCCAACTCAGTGTTTCTCAAACTTGGCAACTTTAAGATGGGTGGACTTCAACTCTCAGAATTCTCAGGTCCAACTAAGTGTTCTAAGGTCCAACTCAGTGTTTCTCAAACCTGGCAATTTTAAGATGGGTGGACTTCAACTCCCAGAATTCTCAGGTCCAGCTCAGTGTTCTAAGGTCCAACTCAGTGTTTCTCAAACTTGGCAACTTAAGATGGGTGGACTTCAACTCCCAGAATTCTCAGGTCCAGCTCAGTGTTCTAAGGTCCAACTCAGTGTTTCTCAAACTTGGCAA